TAATTTATACGTGAAACTGTCCATATTTTGATGTCATGATATGTAAATTAAAAATTGTTATTTTATGGTGATAATCTTGTTTTCTTGTGCCCAATAATGCATAATTTCATTTGATAAACACGTTTAGATTGAATGGTAATTTATAATCAGTCACAAGAACGTCGAATCTGAATCACTTGAAAAAAACACGGGGGTGCTTAACTTTTTTCCAGGTGTATATTTTGTGATATGAGCATAAGGTGGCACAGAAGGATTATAATGGCATTGAGCAGCCTGAGTGCCCAGAAACTTTCTGGGTGATCTGTGAGACATCATGGTGCTCATTAACAATTCCAGATGTTGCAAGACTTTGTTCTGATTCGTCAGTGGACAAGAGCAGTGATGAAATGTGTACATTTGACAAATTTCAGTGAGAAACTGTGACAATGTCACATAGAACACCTTGTTTCTCATCATGATCCAGTAGATCTTTTAGTCAGAAAACTTCTTGGCAAACTTTTATTAAAAATGTGACTGTGATAAGTATACTTATTTTCTACACCATTATTACAAAATTATCACAACATCATGTTATTCTGCACAAGTCTTTGCTCAAGAATTCCTCATTCATGATTTCTGAAAGAGGATGAAAACACAGTGGTATAGAAGCTGGTAGCAAATATTTGTGTACATTATCACTTCATTATGTAGGTGATCTGAAACAGGTAAATCCACCAGTGTTAAAGGGAGTGACTAAGGAGGATTTTATGTAGGTAATCTAGAAACAGGTAAATCCACCAGTGTTAAAGGGAGTGACTAAGGAGGATTTTATGTAGGTGATCTGAAACAGGTAAATGCACCAGTGTTAAAGGGAGTGACTAAGGAGGATTTTATGTAGGTGATCTGAAACAGGTAAATCCACCAGTGTTAAAGGGAGTGACTAAGGAGGATTTTATGTAGGTGATCTAAAACAGATAAATCCACCAGTGTTAAAGGGAGTGACTAAGGAGGATTTTATGTAGGTGATCTGAAACAGGTAAATCCACCAGTGTTAAAGGGCGTGTCTAAGGAGGATTTTGACCATCTTCATTTCAATCAAGTTGTTGCCTTGGGATGCATATGCTCACGGATGAGCAGTGCAGTACCCGATGATGTGTCTAGTCTGTCCTGCAATTGATGCTTTATAGCTATTGGACAAAGGACAACTCAATTATTTGGATACATTTGTCAAATGAAATTGCACCACAAATTCAGTGCTGTGGAGAATAATCAGTAGGGCCAAGCTCAAACTTGGCTACTTATTCAGGCAGTTTAAGGTGATTGCATGAGCAGACATTCCAACGCATGTCATCTATAAGTTGCAATGAGGTACTCATCAACAAGTTTATAGAGAGGCTGCTGAGTGAACCTAACCCATGCAGTATTACATGAGTATAAAGAACATTTCATCCACACCATTACAGTTTCAATTTTGAATCAGTTTGAAGTGATCATATCAGACTGTGCACTACTGAAAATGAAAAAAAGGGTACCAGTGAAAAATACAGCAGCAGACTCAAGGCATTACAGCATCATAAACTGCCAGCAATTATGCACCAGATGCCAGGGTGTAGCTGCTGTGGTTCCCTATGTGACAACAGGGCTTCCCAGGCCAAGTTGCCATAGTTGTAACAAAATACAGTCATACTTGGACTCTTGAGGCAACAAAAGTAAAAGGGAAGGAGCTCTTCTTCAGTTATGGCAAACTTGATTACTGGTCTCATGAATATCCGTATCATGTCACCATACAGAACTGTCATATGCAAATACCAGGGTGAAGTAGTAATAGATTAACTCTTTCAGCACGGGCTCAGTCCCTGAGACCCATCTCATAACTATTTTGTGCTTGTTATAGTTTTCATTCTAGAACTTTTAAAATAAGTAAGTGAATGTTAATGACATTTGGTAGGTTATCGGTAAACGTTACAATGCTTTCATACGCACAATATCAAATTCTTTTTATCAAGTCTTAAGGTTTATAAAGTAATGTTTTTCTCACGTCTATTTTTTCTTTTTGCATGATGCCTATCTGTCATGCAAAGTAATTTTCATTTTAAAATTAAAAATACTTGTATGCATCAGAAAATTTGGAAATTTCACATGCAAAATCTGTATAATGTTGAGATATTTATCAAATTTTATCTGTTATTTTCAGTAATTAATCTCTGTAGGGGTTTGGTAGATTTGACCGATCTCACAACCACCATAAAAAATTAGGAAATAAATATAAATTATGTCTCTTGGATTCTAGAATGAACACAAATTATAACACAAAACATAAATGTTTAGACCAAAAAGCTTAAATCTCATA